TTTTTTTTTTTAATTTTTTTTTTCAACGTTTATTTATTTTTGGGACAGAGAGAGACAGAGCATGAACGGGGGAGGAGCAGAGAGAGAGGGAGACACAGAATCGGAAACAGGCTCCAGGCTCTGAGCCATCAGCCCAGAGCCTGATGCGGGGCTCGAACTCCCGGACCGCGAGATCGTGACCTGGCTGAAGTCAGACGCTTAACCGACTGCGCCACCCAGGCGCCCCTCTTTTTATTGGCTATTACATTTCGGGCATGCAGAAAAGATTTTTATATAGCCAAATATGTATGCTCAGTTTGACTGGCAACTTTTTCTATGGTTTTTCATCAAGTCAGATCCTCTCTGTGGTTGAGATAAATATTCTTCTCCATTCTTTGTTTAGCTCTAACTCATTTCAAATGTTATTCAAAAAGATTGCTTTTTAAATGGTTTTGTGTGGTTGACTATATAATTATGATTTGATTTATTTCTAAAATTATCACACAATGATTTGAGAATGTGCATTTTCCAGAATTCTCTTTTCTGTTTTGAGTGTTTCTTTGTATCCTGGTATCTGTATGTGTTTCAGCTGGCTTTGCTCTTAGGTTACAGAATTTCAGAGCAGGAGGGAACATCATCCCTGAACACCCTCCAGACCTAGTAAACACACCCAAAATAACATTTCAGTGTGTGTTTCGGGCATATAAATTCAGAATTATTGATGTCATCACTCACATAACTTTTGTTATTACTCATATCTTTGTTTAGCTCTTCATGCTTTCTATGCTAATACCTATTTTTAAACATAGATATGGTTAAGTTCCTGTATTATGTTAGCAGATATTTGCTGACTTTTAGACCATCTCTTTAGTTGTGATTTTTAATATATTTTTAAGTAAAGTACTTAATACGTTTTTTTTTTTTTAACCAGTTTTAGATTTTTCTTTTTGCAGGGGAATTTGGCACATTTAGTATTTGGTCTCATATGTAATTATCCTTTTTTGTTGTTGTTGTTCTTTTTTTCTCTTATTTTTCTGTTCTCTCTTTTTTTAAAGCTTATTTACTTAGAGAAAAAGAGAGACACCGCATGCAGAAGGGACAGAGAGAGAGGGAGAGAGAGAATCCCAAGTAGGCTTTTCCTTTATGTGTGTGTTCCATTGTGGTTGTGCTTTAGAAAATACCTTCCATCCAGATCGTATAAGAGGGCTAGTTTCTGTTCAGTACTTTCCCAAGTGCTCCTCTGGCACGCCATAGCAGTAGCTGCTGCTTTACTCTGTAATATTGTCCCATTGAACAGTGACGGTGCATGGTGACACCTTGTTTGGCGCTGAGTGGTGGTGCCTGGGTGAGGGAAAGAGGAGCCATGGCTAGGCGATTGCATTCACCCAGGATTGATGAGAGGATCATCTCCTCCTCGAGCTAGCTTTAAAACTTCAGAAGAAGAACGCCAAGGTCCGGCCCTGTGAACGCTTGGGCTGTTTCAGTTATTTGTTTCTCTTGGAAACTTCAGATCTTGGAATGGGAGCCTGCTGCAGGACATCCCTCCGGCTCCCTGTGCACACGCTGGCTCGCCGCCCACAGACGCAGCAATCTCAGCTGGTTTCACCCAATTCTTCTCCTATGGAGCATGGTGTCCTCCATCTTGTCCTGGATGCCATCCTGTTCTCTCCCACCCCCCCCCCCACATGTTTTCCACAAGACAGACAGATCTGGCGTGAATGTGAACCCAACACTTGCTCTTGGGGCCCCAAGGGTGGTAAAAAAAGCACAAAAGAAGCACATGGTCAATTAGCCCAAAAGTACTGAGTAAATCAGTTTTGCTTGCATATTCCAAAGAATCTTTTTAAAAAGGTTTACTTTGGGCTGGGCATGACACAGTCCGACTCAGCCAGGTCACGATCTCGCTGCCTGAGTTCGAGCCCGTCAGGCTCTGGGGCTGATGGCCTCGAGCCTGGAGCCTGCTTCCCATTCTGTGTCTCCAGGGAAGGTTAAACAGCCTGCCTCACACTGACCCAGGGTCAAGGTTTGGCCTGGGAGGCCCTTGCTTGAGCCTGCTTGATTCTGCCCTTCTGCCTCCCTTCTTGTGCCTCACTTCTGTCTCTCAAAAGAAAATAAACGCACCCTAAAAAACAGTATAACAGAGGAATGCCTTCTCTTAGTCTCCCACAGGAGTTCTGCTGCCCATCTCGATTCTCTCACGGGCCTGCCCCTCCTCCCCCCCCCCCCCGCACACCCCTCCTCCATCTCTGTTCTCTGGCTACCAAGTGACTTCACCTCTCTAAATGGTTGTAGCTTTTTTCTCATTCAGCCTGTTACTGGTCTCACAGGGGAGAATGGCCCCTGGGGCCTGGCCCAGAATGAGCATCCCATCCCTTAGGGCGTGCTGGAGCAGGGCAGACTGTGTGGCCACTGCATTAGTGACTCTTACACACGGGACACCCCTCAGCTGCACAGAGATGGCCACGAGCTGTGAAGCTAACACAGTTCACTGAGGACAGCGGGAATTTTGCCTCAAGCTGCGTCTCCATCACTTAAGTGGCTCTTTTTACCCTCCAGTCTTCCTCCTTCAGTTACGTGCAGAGCCTGGATCTCGAACTCTTTCGAAGTGTCAACTGCTAGCATACCCATCAGACCAGGTAGAAGCTAAGTGCTCAAATTCTGCTGTCCCCACCCCTCTGATCACTCCTGCCTCCATCTCTCTTGTTTTTCTTTTTTTTTTTTACACTTTAAATCACGGGTCTACATCAGTGTGCCAGTCTATTTCAGCCTCGGACGCTGCCCAAGGGACTGCTTCAGTTTCTCTGGCCTCTTTGTCTGTGATGACCAAAGTGTAAAGGTATCTGCTGCATCGGGCTTTAACCTCACATTATCCTTATTTTTCTTGATCTCACGGATCTTGGTGTCCTTTCTACCGGGTCAAAGAGCAGAAAGTCCTTGATTTCTTCCAGCCATAGCGTGGTGGTAGGTAGTGCCTAAGAGACACCGCGTAAGTGCAGAAGGGAAGATCGAAAAGAGCCAGACTTTCCTTCAGATTCTTTCGATCACCTCCTTAAAGGGAAACCCTTGTGGTCAGTGGAACCAGGGGCCAGCCACG